TTCAAGTTCGTCAGATCATATAATGAGAACACTTTGCCACTTGACCCAACAAATAGAAGTACCTCAGAAACATCCAAAGACCTGAAGGGTGCTACAGAAAAGGAACCAAAGGAGTCATGTGAGGTAATCATGTTTTTTTGTGTATTCTGGGTCTAGGTATTTCACATTGAAGTTTTGCGTTTCGGAAGTTTCCTGTCATTCACCGCCAAACAAATTTATATAGCGCATTTAATTTCCACAGGCTCTGTGTTGCCTAGACAATTGGCAGACATATAAAGCTTCCAGAAAATGGATGAATGTAATGGCTAAACCAATGAACAGCACATACATTTTTCCTGACATTCTTGTGCTTGTAGTGAGTTTTTAATAATGTATTGTGTTTTGTGAGATAACGAATCGTAAACCCATTTTTTTTTTGCCAGGCGATTACTAGTACTGTAACATTTTTATTTATGAATTTTCTGACGAGTGGTAAACTACCTCATGGCGACTAGCGAAAGTTATCGAGTTCGTACAGTATAAGACACTTTTATGTATCGTAGTTTTAGAGCTGCCAGAGTTAGTGTTGCATATTTTAACTTTTTTTTTCCTCTTGGAAAAGTATGTGTTGTGGACACAATGGAAAATCAAAAATCCAGAAACAATGAAAGTGTAACGAGTGAATGCAATGTCAATTGTGAAAGTTTGGCTTTAGAAAATAAAGGACATGTATCTTGAAGGAGTTAGAAAACGCACATAGTGTATTAGAAATGTATGTAACCAAACAAAATTTGATTACCTATACACTATGGAAAAAAACTGGAACGCTAATCTATAATACAGTATGTACACTTCATTTTGCTTCAGTTTTAACCGAAGATCAATTATCTAGCTATATCAGTTAACACAAGCTTAAATTTGCAGTTTGAATTTTACCGGATATAACGCAGTGCCTGAAATATCGTGTGTAACTGCGGGGTTTGTGTGACTGAAACAACAATAACACAGGACATAAGCGTACAATAGTTCATTTCAGTATATAACTTATGGACATTGAAATTCTTTAATGTGCAGCAGCAATGCAAGTAATATATTGTTAATTTTCCTAATAAAAACGCCATGTGTCGCTGTTCACCAACTAGGGGTTTAAATTCACTTACACTGCTATTGTGCAGAGCTACAGTATATACCCGTAGCTGTTCCTCTTACTCAAGTTTCTGACGCCTAAACAGTACGTTGTTTTCTTCGCTGCGTATTTTGGAGTACTTCTTCCAAATATAAGGAATCTGCGCAGTTAAATCAGTTGCGAAAAGAAGGGGTACTGCGGGGATTTTCTCCAAGATCTCTAGAAAACGGGATGGGATACAAAGGCAGCTCCGTTTTATGGCAGGTACACTGTTTCTTCTTCATTGTTATGGCTCAGCTATGTACAGGAGATGTTAGTTATTCTGTTCCAGAGGAAATGAGACGGGGATCCGTGATTGGAAGACTCACGCATGATCTGGGGCTCGATATTAAACAACTGTCATCTCGT